CCGTAGTTGGATTTAACTTCCATTTCTTTGCTCTTTGCCACGCTTCTTCCATTTAATGGAACATTACACACGATCGATGTGGGGAGGAATCAAGAGGGAGCTTTTACTATGGCCATGTTATGCATTTTGGAGTAAGAAAAGAGTGAGAGAGAGGCGGTGGAAGTGAGACAGAGAAGTGATTTCGAGTCAATGGCGGAGGAAAAACAAAATTTCTTACATCTAGCAATTTGGCATGATGGAAGCTCGAATTGGGGTTGGGAATATCGGGCGGGATTGAGGGTGTCTGTGTCTATATATAGGAAATTATGTGCATATTTTTCCCATCACACCCTTTGCAGTATCTCAAGTGGCTCCGGGCGGAGTGTTGCAAAAAGGGTAACACGCAGGGAAGGTACTTTGTTCCCATTTTCTCAATATGTTTACCTTTGCCACTCGACGAGATGTGAATGGCTTGAAGTGCAAGAAAGCCACTCAATTGAGCTCTGGCAGTTCTGGCGCATTGACGGCTGGATAGAAGGGAATAAAATAACATAATACGGAAAGCCCACGCTGATGATCAATGTCGCAGTGTTCGTGTCATGATGTAATTAGCAATGTAAATGCAGCATAGTATTTATGATTAATGCTCGGGTTGGAAGTACGGAGAAAAGTGCAATGTTTTATTTGCCATTCAGCGTATTTGCTCACACTTTTGTCATGATTCTCAGCGTGTGATTAAGTAAACATAAAACTGTAAAATGTACATAATACATTCATAGAAAAGTGAGTGATGGTGGGAAGGCGAGAGAGGAGCAAACACCTGCAAACCTTGACAGTGAACCATATTAGAGACACTTTATACCTCCTCTGTATATACACAACAGTTAAATAATCACTGGCAAATGTGGCGTATTACATTTCTTCAATTGAATGTCGTTCACTTTGGCGCTATGTGGAGAGAGACATATTATATGTGTGTATGGAAAAAAGGCGTGAAAATATAAAAGGAGAGGAGAGAGAGAAAAAAAAACAATGAACTGGTTGAAGGTTGAAATCATTAGGCAGTTCACGAACGTTTATTTTTTCGATGACGTCATGTCGCAATTCACTTTTTTCCTCAATGAAAGTTTCCTCTCTGTTCGTTTCGCTAATTTCATAAATATTGTACAATTTTTTCCTCTCCTCTCCATATTCAAACACTTTTCCAGTCTGATGTGACGCGCTGTGAGTGTGCAGAATAGTGAAAAAATAATAAAAGAGTAGAAAAAAAGGAATATACATTGAGAACAAATAAAAATCGTCGCGTGTTTGCTGCTCAATTTAATCAATTCAGCAAGGCATTTTAATATCTCTCAATTGAATCACTAGTATTTGCTATGAGAAATCATCATATTCACACTTTTTCATCAATTTCTGCTTCACTGTTCCTTGTTTGGGAATTTATGCAGTCAAATTTTCTGCAATATGGCGTGTTAACCCTTCGCTTTGCGAGTGGCGAAACGTTCGAAAGCGAAATAAGGTTTGCTTCCACCGGCGACTGTTCATTGCCAAACTTTAAAGCAAAATTGATGAGCTTTGAAAACTACTTTTAACTTCTCTTGACTGGAGAAATTCTTTTCCTTAGAGCAATTATCGCTAGTTATTGATTCTGTTTAATGCTTTAAATTGGTATTTTCTCTCTGCAAACTTCTATGTCAGACTCTGTACTGCGTTAAAATCTTCAGTTTTTCTCTTTATTTGAATGATGGCTTCTCGGATTCTCTCTCTTGGTTTATCAACAATAAGTTGTCTTCGGTTTCTTTTCATAAGTGCGTAAAAATATCTTTAAGATATTGAACGTCTTGTTATCCACAGAAATTGTCGAAGATGCATTTGTTCGTCTTCTGGTTTCTCAATCTTTATAAATATCATGTTTAATGCTTATGAAGGAGAATTGAAGCAAGAATATACAGTCTGTGTTAGACTTGAGTATTTAGGTTTGCGGTGAAAACTTTAACTGTCTCTCTTTGGCTGTGTGACATTTCACGGCTATGAACACAATGTGTTGAAAATTGTGAGGAGAGAGAATTCTGTGCGCCAGGAAAAATCAGAATTTCACACTCTGGTCTCTCTTGCATTCCTTTTTCCACCAATTTTCCGTTTAATTTTCGTAATCGAACATCATTTCGACGGGATGTCCGAGCATTTCCAGCACACGCAGAGAGCGATTCAATTTAGCAATAATGGCGAAACTATTGAATTTCCATTTTGAGGGAAAAATAGAATTATAACATTGGTGAATATAAATGCGATTGAACGAAAAATTAAAATTTAATCGTAGATTTTAATTGGTTAAAAAGTGAATTTGGAGCAATCTCATGGAAATTCTACCCTCACTGCCTCGCTTTTTTACCATAGTCATCCAAGCCAAGCAGCAATCGCAAACTGCTTGATCAAATAGACTGCCATTAATTTATGCGATTGTGTACACGAGGGGTCGGTGTGTGTGTGTGTGAGTGTGCTTTAGACAATCTGCGAGAACTGTCGGAAGACTGAAGGGAAAAAGAGCCCATCAGGGATGTTTTTTTGGCATGGAGTGGAAAATTCTGTATGAGTGTGTACTCGGTCATGCAGAAGGGAGAGATCGAGTTGAATAGGAGAGCTCTGCCTCACTTGCTCTCTACCCCTCATCACTGAGCTTTTTCTCAGGGATATGTCAGACAAATATTAATAAAACACCGGCTACATTGGGAGTAAAACCACCACCCTTAAGACCATTCCATACAGCGCACAGTGTGGAAATTCTCTCTGGAAAATCTCCCATTCTCTGTTGGCGTGCCTGTTTTTCCCTGGCTCTACGCTTTTTCCCGCTCTCCGTCTGCACACTTCCCAAATGTGAAAATCTCACCCACCCCCCTTGGCAAGAGAGTGGGGGATGGGGTGTGGAAGACGAAGAAAACGACGTTCTCGTCCGGAGAGAGAACATCAGCAACGAGCGAATTTCACACAATCGCGAAGAATTAAATTCTAACCAGGGGGTTGCTCACTCCCCATCGCTCGCCGAATGGCGCTGTCTTGCTCTTCTGCACTGCTGGCGGAGCGAAATGGCACGAGGGTTTATCGTATGGCGAGGAGTTGCCAGAAATATGGTATGCTCTCCCTCGTCTGTCGGGAATTTTGCGATGTGCCAGGGTGTCTCTCTGCCCTGGCGCTGGGGTGGAGGGGGGTGTTGCCACGGGGGAGCGCAAGTGGGGGGTGAAATGGGGCAAAGCTCCGCCTATTGCTGTGGAAAATTTTCCACCATTGGTTGGCGCACAATGTGATTTGGAGTGGTAGCCGACAGGCGGAGCTGGAGTCGGCTGCCGCTCGTGTGCTTGGGGTTCAGTCAGCCATGTTACTCTCGAAAACTCCATATTCCAATTTGAACAGGCGAGCGTGTGTGTGTGTGTGTGTGTGTGGGCTGAGGGTGTGGGAGACAAGGGAAAATGTCGACAGTGTCGACGTGGTGGCGCTCCAATCCTCCACAATCCCCCTTACATTTATAATATCGTTGACTCCTCGGGAGCTGGGCTGAGGAGATAGGAGAGCACAGTGTGCGCTGGGTTGGGGGAGTTGAGCGAGAAAACTCGTGCAGAGCACACTGAGCCATATATAATTCGAGGGACGTTGAAGAGGGTTTACTCCTTGGAAATAGCGCCCAACAGAGAATTTCACTCCATACATACATTAATGAAAAACGGGGTAGAGCGAGAAGACGGAGAGAGAGGAGACTTTTTGCCGGGCTGAGGAGGAAGAGGAACGATGGAAAATGGGGAGTGATGTTGTAGATCAATTTTTGCCTGATTCTCTCTCTCTTTCGAGCCATGGCAGAAGTGGTGGTGGTGGAGAGAGGAGTTTTAATTTTCAGCCCCGAGGGAAAAACTCAATTAAAAACTACACAGTATCAGTCAATGGCATTTAACATATTTCACATATATGCAGACGTCGCTTTCTTCCAATGCGCGCGAGGGACTGACACTTGGTATTTGAAGGTGTTCCACACTGAGCCATTCCCGACAGACGGTCTTCACGTGGTGCCGATCACCCCGAGGGAGGATTTCTTCTCGGGCGCGCACGATGAAATATGAAATGCTACGGTGGGTGGTTGGGTGGAATAGAACGCAATTATTGCATGTGGAAGGAGGGGCGGAATTGGAGGAATGACGAGAGTGGCACGAAGGGTGAGAATTCATCGCAAAAAATAATGCTGGCAATGAGAAGTTGAGATGCGAGGAGGGAGCTAGAGGAGCTCAGAAAGGACGTGCTGTACTGGAAGAGAATGAGGGAAGAAAATTCAGGATTCATTTTACTTATGTACCAAGCGGAGAAAATTGTGTATACGTAGGGAAAGAAGAAGAGTGTCTGATGTGTGTTTGTGTATAATTAAATCACCACCCCATATTCCTCATCTATTCATCTCTTCCCATGGGCATCTCGCCTCCCCCCCCAGAAAGCGGGGTGTGTGTGCACATACAGGCGCACATGATTTGCGGAAAATATCACATACAGCGAAAAAACACACCCCAATACACAGCCTAGAGTGAAATGTGAATGTGGAAAATCATTTTTATGGTCGACCGAACGGAGAGAAAATGCGGCATCGACGGCAAGGGGGATGAGTGGGGGTTTTCCTCTGTGTATTGCTGTGTGGCGACTGTAAATGCGAAAAAGTATGCGAATGTTTGTGCGATGTTGCCATCGATCGAAATGGGAAACGTGCTATGGCTGTGCATCGTTGGTGGGTTGAATTTGTGGGGTGTGTGTGCGATGGGGAAGTCAGTCGCCCCTTATGTACTTCACATGGACAATGTTTTATCATCTACAATTGGCGATGTGGAATGGGACAGACAATGACTCTGTCGAGGGTGTGAGGTGATGTTTTTAATAGTTGAGACTGCAAATTTAGTTTATCACGAGCTAAAAAGGGGGAGAACAAGAAAATTAGGGGTTATTTTTTTGCGCAAATGAGCTGAATTCCTAATGGCTTATCTGGTGTTTTGCAGACGAACGCGCAACGTGGACAGTCTCCATATCCGCCGCCGGGACAGAGCCCAGGTCCCTACCCGCCGCCGCCGCCCCCGCCCCAGCAACAGGCGCCGCAGCAGGCCCAGCAGCAACCGCCGCCACAGGGCCCGCCACAGCCCCAGCCGCCGCCACCTGGTCCCGGAGGTGCTGGCGCTGGCGGAAGTGTCACGCCGGTCTCCACGGGCGGTGGTCCACAGTATTCTCCATATCCACAACGATATCCCACACCGCCTGGCAATCATCGATCACCCTATCCGCCACCGCATCAGGTAAACACGATTGGGATTTGTTGCTATATTAGATTAATGTACAGGGCCAGTTTGAGGCGCAACCGGAGCGCCACAGAATGATGGGGATTTGTGTGGAGCAAGATTGTACTCATCGGCAATTATTCCTTCCACATAAATTATCCATCTGTCATCGTTGAATGATTTATGTCAGAAGAAGTAGACCTCTGGAAAAGGGTGTTGCGTGACAATAGTGAAGAGCAATGCTCTGGTATTTCACTAAAATGGCAGGGGTTGCTCTCTAACACACACAGCTTACCGGTTGAGATATGTAGACAGTGCATTTTTATCGGTCTCACTTACATCCACATCAATCAAGTCAATCTGGAATTATTTGTCTGGAGAAAAACTTACTTTTGCGTCTTCAAAGTGTTGAAATCCATCATTATTTTGAGTCAAGAATTAACAATTACTTTCACAGTTCCGCAGTTTGAAGTCTCTGGGGTGAAGATCGATTGATGCAGTTGCACTTGAAAAGGGGAAGATTGATTTTTCGGCATCCTTTTTGCCATATGCAACGTTGCGGTGGCATTCGCGAAAAAGGCCAGAACGGATGGTGATGTTTGAGGGATGAGAAGGAGAGTGAATCGTTTATTGAGATTCTCAGCTGATTCAGTTGAATGTACATAGTAGCTTTTATTGTACATATAAAGTTGGCTATAGCGGTGGAGTGTGTTGTGCCTAGGGTTGGATGAAGCGTGGGGGAGTTGTTTCGGCGCCTGAGGAGCGACTGCGAGGGTGAGGGTGGGGGTGAGAGGGCGCCTTGATACATACCGTCAATGTGATGGCAAAACGAGAAGTATTAGAGTTGTGTATAAAGGCGTGTTTTGTGTGTGGTGGAAGAAGTTGAGTGAAAGTTTTGCGTCAACCGAACCTCTTTCAGAAGTCGGTCAAAAGAACTACAACCACCCAATGCATCTCCAACCCCTTCTGTAGATGCCCTTTTGCGCGGTGCAGGAGCATTTACCTCCATTCTTGCCGTTTGCACGTAAGGGAAATTTGTAGTTTGGCTGGATTAACACACTTGTCCTGCCAAGTGGACAAAAGGGTGGAAGGAGAGTGACATTTTGACTTGAACTCTTCGTCACCGATTGGCAGAAAGATGTTGGAAGAAAGAAGTGTGAACAAGGGTGGTTTCTCTGTGATTCATCCTTGTGTGTAGAGTGAATGTTGAGCTATTCTTGGGATGAAAGTGACAAAAGAAAGTTGATATCATAAAATTCCACCCTCTTGTCTGTGCATCATTCATGGGAGCGAGAGAGCATCCTGTGAAGAAAAAAGCGAAGAGCGGTGAAACGATACTGTGTGTGAGGAGATGCTTTGAGTATTTGAAATGGGGTTGGGGTGTGATTGAGTGAATGGCAATGGAGAAGAAAAGATCTTTTACACATGACGTGTAGATATGAGTATATAGCATAAAAGCGACCTTGCTATGTCTTGTGTTTGGAGCATGATGACGAGTACATGTGCGGCAAGAGGAGGACTCTTGAGTTAGCTTCTCTTGTTCGCAAGGGCGACAAGGCGAAACTTCACTCCTCCTGGACACAGACGCAGCCAATTCTGGGATGTGTATTCTTTATGGTTTTTTTTTCTCGCCAAGCTGAGCAAAAGTTTCTCTCAACTGCGATCCTGCATTTTCCCTGTGAGATTACATCGTGTAAGAACAATCGCATGTGTTGACGTTTTCTCTTCTCCTTTTTGGCCTTATCTGCACTAAACAGTTTCGCTTTCAATTCAACTTCTCTTTGCGCGCCCTTTAAATTTTCATTCTGCCTCCTTGTCTCTCTTCTCACCCACTTCCCATTCTGCACAAACACACACATTTGACGTTGGGGAAGTACATAGAATATTTGCTGTATGGCAATTTTGTACACTTGTTCCGATATTTTTTGATATTTATTCTGGTCCCTCCTTCACACCCTCGAGTCATCCCTTTGGGGATCTTTGGCTTTCGCCTCAATATCTCAGTCCGTGTTGTATTGTTGTCGGGCGCCTTGTGTTATATGTCAAGTAAACAGCGACAACAATTTCATTCAATGAAGGGGGTTTTCCGCCTGCCTCGGAATTATTTATTCAACTGACGTCCTTCCTCACGAAAGCCTATAAATTCTTGTGCGCTGTCGAATGGATGGAGAAAAAGCTTTTTTGCCTCAAATGCCATGGGTTTTTCTGTGCGCGTCTCCCATCATGTCTATGTCGCTGGTGAAACTTGAAAACACTCTGTGCGGAAGCCCACTCAATTCTGGGCACTCAATGGAATATGATGGAAAGAACAGAAGGTATGAAAAGTGGGGAGAGAAAACACACTAGTAAATCAGGTGTTTTATATACTGAAATTGTAGCAAATTTCAACATGAAAGTACAATACGGCGCGAGAGTAGTAAATGTCACTAACTGATTTTTATTCCTCCTAATAAAATACAGAACTTTATTGTCCATGTACTTGAGACTCTGTCTACGTGCGACCATATACAATATTTTACGATTTCCCGCCATGAGAAATATAGGCTGTTGTCTCTGCCGTATGACTTATCACCCATTCAAAGTGTGCTTTATCAGTTTGCCGACGAAACGCCGTAAATGTTTCGCCGGGCAGAACAATTGGGTGGCTTTCTGTGGAACGAGAGTGATAAGAGCCGCTGTGTGTCTTTGCAGTATCCTGAGCCCACGAGAGCGTGGCCGGGCCCCGGAGGACCGTCTCCTGCCGCATCTCCCGGTCCGGCGGTGGGACATCCTCATCCGCCACCATCGCCGCAGCAATTGCATCCGCCGCAGAGTCCTGGTCACGCCCCAAGTCCGTCCCCGCAGCCACCGCAGCCGGCACAATCACCACACCAGGTAAGTCATTCCGGGGCAATCGTCCTGCCGCCACGCTTAGTCTGGGAGAGTCGAAATAATTGAGTGAATTATGGCGATCGTTCGGGTTTAATGCATCCAATTTATCATGCCACAGTGTTGCAAGAGCTCAAGATGAAGGAGAGAAAAGCACATTCACACACTCAGGGGCAAAAACGACCTGAAATTAAATTGAAAAGTGACTGAAATTAGAAGCGATTGATAAAAAATATTTCCAATTTTGAGTTTTATTTGTCATATTGCTGTACAATTCTATATATTTGTATGTTTCTTCAGATAGTGTTTGTATGTGCAAAACACAAAACATTGCGGAGATAAAGCATGGAAAATTGCAAATGAATTTCTATCGATCCTGCAAGTATTTTCCGCACAGTAAAGAATGAGGTGGTTTTTGTGCAAAATCCGTACAACAAAAAGTTTGTGTGGTGAATGTCACACATGGAATTAAAGTGACTGCAAAAACGAATTTAGTGTCGGTTTATCATGGGGACATGAATTAATTCCAGGGAAATAGATGCTGTTTTGTGCACTCTAATGTGTGCATACGTATGAATTAAACCGCATTTTGCATTATATTGGAGAGTTGTGGACGTGCGGAGGAAATTACAAAACGAATTGTCAAAATTTCAATAGTTTTTATTCAGTTTCCCGTGCAATTTTGTATTGTTAATGGTTGGTTTGAGTGAGTGGAAGAATTACAATTGAATTTTGGTATATTTTAGTTAGGAGAATGGAAAAGAATTATTATATATGTTGGTGGATGATGTGTTATTGAAATATAAATTATTCATAATATTGTCCAATTTAATATTATTATTCCTGTATATATTATTAATGGATGATTTCACGTGAAATCAGTCAATTTCACTCAAATTCATTTTTATTTAGGCATCCAATCGATAGTGTTTTAATGATAAAATCGGTTTCTTGTGCAATTTCAGTATCCAAATCGACCAAGTCAAGCTTCGACACCAAATGCAAATGACGCTGATACTGGGGTGAGTGACCAAATGTTCAATATCTCTCCATTGTTTGAGCCTCTGAAAGGGGTGCTTTTTTCCCACATGACATCCATGACGTAAATGCCCTGACGTCACTGAGAGAGGAAGAATTTTTCCGATTATGCAGACATGATGTGAAGTGTTTGGGGAGTGAGAGAGGAAGAGTGGAGGGTAAATTATGGGGTGGGCGCATGTTCGCTCAGCAAGAAATGTGATGCGATGTTGGGGGGGGAAGGGAAATTAAGTTGAATGATTTTGTAAACAAACGAGGAAAATCAGCTGATTATATACAAGAGAGGGGACGAAAGTGGCAATTACATTCCCTTGATCATTGGCACTGGGATTCCAGGGTAACATGAATGTGTGTATATAATTTTCTTCATTATCGGCTCTCTTGCAATTCTCTGTCGTCACAGAGAGCAGAAGGAGTGCATATTTGAAGAGGGCGGAAGAATTGATGGCAGATGATTGTTTGCTGTTCTGGGGTTCTCTCAGATCCATTTCAGTTCACTTTCAGCTTCTGGGACATGATTTTGCATGTTTTAGAATTTAGAAGTCCGACTCGTGAGAATATTAAAGTCTTTCTCAACAAACAATTGAGACTTGTTGTTTTTCTCTTTTCTAATTAGAGTTAAAGATACAAAAAGAACATAATTTTGACACACTTATTAAAGTTTTTCAACATTAAAAAACTTCCATTCAAAAAACCATCAGTACATGTTCAAAATTGATTTTCAAACACTAAATAATTTGAATTCTTGATGAATCTTTTAATATCAGAGACTTTTATGCTTTCAGAATTTTTTAAATCTAATGCTGTAAATAGAATTTGTACCTAAAAGCTGTTCAAGTGAAGAATTGTAGGATATTTTGTTATTTGGTAGAAAGAAGCACATTTTCCATCAAACAAATTAGATGGATTCAATCAATTTTTTCTCATTAGAAGCATTCATTTCGCAATCTCTTGCAGAAAGAGGAAAATTGTCGCCAATAAGACTAAATTGAATCGTGTATTGGCATTTGCAGTGAATATTTTTCAAATTTTCCTATGTTTTCCAAGCATTGCAATATATTCAGACTGCAGAATGGATTGAAACCTGCCTGAGATTGCACAACAGATGCAAGTTCAGTGCTTCGGCCTCTGCTTGGGCGGCATGAAGTGAGTTTAGGGACTCCTTCGGCAGCGCTGCAGGATGATGTGTTGGGCGCACGAGGGTGTGAGTGTCGCTGATGGGGTTTTGGTGGCAAAGAACAATAAAATAGTGGTTTGAGGGGTGCTGTGAGGGTGTCTAGCACAATCAACAGGTATACTTTACATAATAAAAACCTGTATAACTACATGACGTATACAATTTGATGTACAAGAAAGGCGTGCGAGGGAGAGAGAGAGAGTGTGTGTATTTTGCATTGAACGTGGGCTGTTGTGGGTGGGGGTGTAAAAGGAGAAAATTGTGTATACACAGAGCCAGAGAAAACGAGGAAATAAAGTTAGGAATGCGTCCCGTTTGATGCGGCAGCTGTGCTCTTGTGGGTGAGTTTTGCGATGCCACGTGGTTTGCCGGCATCGGGGTGGGGGGTGGTTCTCGGGGGGGTGAGAGAAATGTGGTGGTAAAATTGTTTCACTCAATCTACCGCGCCAACCATGTGACGAAGAGGAACAGAGCCGAGGGAAGGTGTGTATTTTCTCTGGGGTTGCGCGCGAATGTGCTTTTCGGTGAGGAGTGTGTGTGGAAAATGTGTCAAAAGAGAGTGACACTTTTATGTGTCAGTCAGCTGATGATATCGTGTGTCTTTTTTTCGTTTTGATATCTTGATGCCCAAAAGCGTCATCTTTCACAGCTCTCACCGTGAGTTAGTGTGCAGCGGCGCAACATTGAGTGGAGAAATAGAGAAAGTCACAAGAGTGCGTTTTGCGTTATTCTTGTTGTTTGATCGCTGGCGCGCGAGTTGCTTGACTGGCAAATACACAAGAGGAGAGCTAATATCATAAATCCCATTTCAGTTTTCTCCATTGATAATCACTTGTGCGGCATTTTGTGTACATAGATAAAGACTGTACATAGAGGGCTTAAATCACTTGGCACATGGCATGAAGTTTGAATGTACAGGCAAGAATGAATGACGAAGGATTGGGTGAAAGAGAGGAAGCGGCAAAGTTGGACGTTTGTGTCGTCATAGACATGCAATTTCGATTTCATTCACATTCACTCCACACTCACCGCACTTTGCCATTAAATCCATTCCATCACTGTGGAAGAATAGCTCACAAATCTCCGGCTTTTTCTGATTGCGGAGCGATACAGGTGGAAGAAGAAAAAAAAGTGTGGAAGACAAGAATTGTGTGATTCATGACAGTATCAAATAAGGTGGTTTCCTTTCTGAGAGACGATTTGAAAGATACCCAAATTGGGAATTTCCTTTTCCGTCACATCAAAAGATCTCTGTCTCACTGTGAAACTTACATGAGATGTGAAAGGGAGCATCAAAGAGAGTAAAAATAGGCAGAATGTCTTTTTAGCCAGATTGAAATGAAGTCTCACAAGACAAAAATGCACGAAAACACAGAGAGTCTATCAATGAAGATCAAGTCTCTCGGTGAAATTCACGGATGTTGTTAGTGGATGGAATGCGAGGTGGAATGTCGAGAGGAATTCCCAATGTGAAGAAATGAATTGTGTGTGATATAACAATTTTACTATCTCTCTATCAATATAAAATATGTAAACAGACTGACGAAAAATTTCATATTCTATTTATAGCTGGGCGTTCAACGAGTATTTTCTCTCTTTTTACCCATATGTACATTATATTGTGCCATACATAAATTTATTTTCCTCTTGTACACTCTTTCCTCTTTCTCTCACTCCATCTATAAATGTGAATGTTTTTATTTACATCCGTGTGGTATAATTCTTTGAACTTGAACTAAATTTTCGCTGGTGGCACTCGACAGAGAGCAGTGAATGGTTTTTGGGATTGAATGCTCTCACTGTGTGTGCTGCATTTTGGGGGGAAGGAGGAGGAGGAGGAGTAGGAAAGAGGGATGCTGCGATGGGATGTATCAGAGTTGAGGCGCAGGGAAAAAAGAGCACACACACACACAATTTTCAGCGACCTTCGGAACAAACAACAAAATTCCTCATTCTCTTCGCCGCCGCCGCGCTCTACTGTGTGAGTTCTCTGATAAAAATTGAAACAGCTGATGCGTACGATAATTGTCTTTCCCTCCTCCTTCATCGTCATTCTGTCTGTGAATTGTGTGTGCGATTGCCTGTGACTCATTCATCGATTCCGCATGGGTATTTAATACACAAATGGCTATTTCATACCAGATTTAAGGGGTTTGTATATGGGATCGTTGTGTGGCAAAACAGAACAGAATCACCTTCATTTTCACTCCACATGCCTCGAATGCCTCTCTTCTGCTTGCTCTGCTGCTGGTGCTGCCGCAATTCGGTGCACTGCTGGCCTTCCTAATCCGTTTTTGAGGTCCATTTGTGCCTCTCAATTTCTCCTCTCCCATTCAATGCAAATCAATAATTTGCACTGTGCTGCACACATCTTTGATGCTTGTGGCGCTGTGCACTTTGTTGTGATATCCATTCGTGCGGTATACACGTAAGAGTTTCGTTCTCATATAAATTCAAAACTATTTAGCATGGCTGGGAGATGATTTGTGGGTGTCCAAGGAGAGAGACTGAGTGTGTGTGTTTGTGTGCTGGCAGAAAACAAAGAGAGGCACTCCACTTCCAATGGGTCAATGCCAAGGTCACTTTCTGTACAAATTTCCCAAACACACTTGCACGCAATTTATGTGTGCCTTTCAATTGAGTGCGGCGCTGGGAAAGGTGAAGGCAGAGGCTGTATCGCACTGGATTGGTCCATGGTGTGCTTCCAATTAGTCTCTGGTCAGTGAAATGTGTGGCAGGTGGAGGAGGAAGTGTTTGTAAACAAACCGACGGTGGTCAGGAGACTGGCTCTGATAAGTTTATCATGTGAGTCAAGCTGAACTCCATTTGATGACGTTCGGAGTGTCGAGTGTAAATGGATTACAAGCATTCTTTCATGAAATTTGCTAGCTTTTGTGTGACTTTGCCAACGGATAATCTTGCTTCGTTAGTCTAAAAGGAAGCTCATTTAATAATTGACTGATAAAAACCTTAAGAATTTTTGAAAATAGTTCATGAATAGAGGAAGATATTAGAGATTTTAAAACGAATGTCAAAGCTTAAGTTCAATGCAATGCTGTAATATTTCATACCGAAAAATTGTTACGTCAATGCAAACACATTTTGACGATATTGTGTGTCACTTCAGAAGTCATAAAGCAATGTGATAAGGCTTTTCGCATCGCATAGATTCACGTGAGTTGCGATTCTCTGTGAATGTGTTCGAAATGTGTGCTGAGTAAATTTGATTATTTTGGCAAATACAAAAGTTGTGATTTTTAGCAGGAGCAGCCAAAGTGCAATCGTGCTTTCACAACAGATTGACGTTTATTGGGAGCAATGCTGCAAGCCAAACAGGCAATTCAAGAGGTTGAGCGGGAAGTTATGGCATAGGAAAACAAGGTGAAAATACATTGAGTCGATTTCCAGTGTTGCAAACAATCGCGCAAAATATGGAGCACGTTGTCTCTAAAATTGAAGTGCACGCCGACGAAAAAGTGAGATCGTGTTTATCGCCATAAATATAACTATTGCATAATGTTCACATCGCGCGCATTAAGCTTGCTTTAGAGAGATGAGCGATAAAGATGCTTGAAGATAAACAAGATTCAGTATATAGGCGAGGCCGAAAAAAGATATATAAAAACAAACACAATGGGAAATAATGGCACAAGTTCAATGACTCATGGATTTAATCGAATTCCTCAATGTGATTTTGAGATTGAATCAACAATAAATTTATTTCATTGTTGATCTATGGTGAATTCTCAATGGGTTTTACGTTTGGCTCTTGCCGCTCTTGTCTGTATATCTTTTCCTCTCTCTGCTGTGCTTTTCCCTTGACGGTGGATTGTTTCTCAAGATGCACAGAGGTCTGAGCGATTCCACAATCAGGCAAATGATAGAACATTTGAGGTGAAAATTGAATAACGACACTCTCAAAACCCTTTCAAGTGGCACATGAATGTGTGAAGGCGGAAATTTCATAAAATCGAAAATGATTGTTTCAATCCTCACCTGCTCAATGAGCGCGCACAGCAAAAGTCTCTCTCTCTAAAATGCTGAAAGGACATTATCGGGGGTGGAAAAATACGAGAGTGAGAGAGAGAGAGTGAGTGTGACGTTGAAAATGTGACAAGAGAAAGAAATACAATTAACTGTTTTTATGAGCAATTTTAATTGAATTCCACCACCCTCATCGCACTTTTCCATCTTTCTGCCACCCACATTGATTTCCCCACATCACCGTTCGTCGTCTCAATGGGAAAATTGCGCGATAAATAGGGGAAAAGGCGCACGATGTGGTGTATGGCATAGGCTTTTGTTGGGCAATTTTATGAGAGTTGCGTTGAGAATTTAATTAAAAACGAGTCAGTGATTGACACGAGAAAGGACACAATGTGTTTTTCGCCAATACGCCTCATGATGTTGCGGCGGGAATCCTCAGAATGTCGCTTTGGCTGCGAGTGACAAAATTTGAGATTATAAAAGTTTATGAAAGTTGATTACACAGGAATATTTTCATGGGTTTTTCACTATGGAATATACAGAGGAGTGCATATAATAGAGATTCTTCTGCAATAGACAATCTTATCGTGATTTGCAATATTGGGTCAGTCAGGGTACGAGTTTAATGAGGATTGCTTGTCAAAATATGCCAGTGATGAGGACAGTTTATCAGGCAGTTTGAAGGAGGAAGAAAGTTCTTCATTTATATAAAATCCTCCGCGTTCAGCCGGTTTTTTACCTTCGAAATAACTCAACTTTGGTACATTTTGAACCTGAAAAAAATCCGCCCTTTTGATTCTTTTGTTGTGATTTTTTGCTTCCTTTGCCCTGTTTTCGTATATTGACATTGCACTTATGCACAACAAATTCACTCGAGCGCATTGACATTGTGAAACTCAATTGATCACTCTATATTCCAACGATAATTTATCTACATTTTTCAAAGATGTTTTCTTCCAAATGAAGGCTCTCAGAATAAGTCGGTCTACAATCATTGCATAGTAGTCACTCATTGAGGAGAACTAGTGATATTCATCCCGCTAAATTGGGTGAATGTGAAGTAATAATCTGTGATCTTTTTGGGTCTATTCACATCATTGTTATCTCACCGTCACTGTAGCATACAGATTGCAGATTGAATGTGTTGTTAGAGGAATTGAACTAGAGTTTCCACGGTTTGGCTTTAAATCCAGTCTGTCACGCGCTTATGCTGGACTCTGGAGAGCATTGAGAGGGTTTTGCGTTCCGCACAGTTGCAATGCTGCGGACTTTAGGGCCTGTGTTTGGCTGTCGTCATGATGGTGATGATTTGGATGGAAATGTGTAATGGAGTAATGCAAGAGACACACGTGGATTGACTGCGGTTCACGTGTTTTTACATACGTGGAAAATGTTGTGTTGCGGCGGAAAAAAGGAGGAAATTGTGTGTGACTGAATGTGACGAAGGCAAGAGCAGAAAGTGTATAGAAGAAAAACATGCGGGAAAAGTGTAGGTAATGGAAAGGGATGAGCTTTCAATGCTGTTGTGGATGAATAGTAGAGTGGGTGTGGGTGGGGTGGGCGTGAGAGTGAGCGAGAGAGTGAGGCAGACGGGAGGGAGTTTGGGGTGGGTTTTGATGGGGTGCGGCTCTTTCAGGGTTTTCGGTCGTTTTCCAGGGAGAAATGCGCGACGACCCGAAGAGAGGGTGGCTGGGCGGTATGAAAGCCAAGGTCATCATTTTGAGTCACTGACCTAACCTATTACATAATGCTTTTCATTTGTTTACCCAACTTGGCTATGTACATTGCCATTTCACTGCCAACTGTATATAATTTGTTTTGCATTTCACTTCTTTTCAATTCCACCTCACTTTGTATCTCTAACCTCTTCTCACTACTTTTCACCTTCATTTTCAGGTGAGTATCAATCACAACAGTCAGTATTTGTCACATCACTGGGTGAGTTTTGCACTTATTTTTACCTACTATCTCATATTGTGTAGCGTAGTTCTTGTTGTGTATGCCCAACAACAAGTCCCCTTCCCTTTTTTCCCTCTGCAGGACAATGGGTTGAGACTCTCTGTGCAAATTGCTGAGAAGTTTGCAATGTGCGCGATGTAAACATATTACAGGGAAGACTTTGACCTCTGGCATGGTTGAAAGGATAGTATTTCAGGGATTTCCCATTCACAACCGGCGGCAATTTCGCTGTGACCTATACCTAAAATTCCATTTTATTGCCATCTCTCCCCACACATTGTGTGTGTGTGTGTGTGTGTGTGCATCGCATGGGGAATCAATCTTGATGCACTCAAGTTGATTGAAGCCTCAGCGCAGTATGGCAAAGTCATGTCTCATGCACCGAGAGCGGGTTTGTTATGGGAAAGTTCAGAGCGAAATGTCAAATTGACGTTTGAGTAATTAATTATTCGGATCACGACACATTCACTTTGCTTTCAGAGTTTGTTGTGTGTTCGCGAGGGAAATCATTGTGAGAGAAGTTGAACAGCTGAGAATAATTGCTAATTACTAGTTTAGCGAACTTAGAGGCCGCACTATAGCCACACATGTACAGTGCAGACATTCGGCCCTTGATGCTTGTGTTTGAGAAATATGCAAAATTCCGCGCCCTCCGGCAGTATGATGACCATATAATTTTTCAATGAATGAAAATTTGTCGTGGCATTCGCGTGCCGGTGGTTCTTAATTCACGTCACAAATTGCAATTAGCGTCGGGGTGTGGGATATTATTATAGGGATTTGCGCGAGGGCGATCGGCAGAAAGTGATTGCGAGGGAGGGCAGAAAAAAAGAGACAAAATAGAGCAAGTTGACGTCATCCGAATTCCATTGAATGATGCGGTTTAGTGGCACACATACGAAATAAAGTTGTTCAGCTGTGAAATTGCTAGGGAATCCCTCCATTAATTGTTGGCAGCAGTTATGTGTGATTTATGTGAGAAGAAACAAACATTGGATGGGATTTAAAATGTATGTATATATGCTGTGTGTGGAGTTATGTATATGCATACCTCTAGTCGAGGTGGCGGCATCAAAAATGCATTTTCAAGAGCATCGGGAAGAGAGAGAGAGAGAGCAAAGAGGATGGGAAGTGAGCACATGATTGAATTTAAATGGATTGACAGTGTTTGGAAGAGGCGCCCGTAATGAAAGAGAAGGTGATTCCTTTTAACGGAACACAAAAAGAGAGTGCAGACACACTTTTCTGCACTATTGCATGGATGTCATGGAGATCCATTAAGTGAAATCTATACGCAGGGTTGTGCGAAGAAGGCGGGAGAATGGAAATAAAGAGTGTGATAAAAGTGCCAATTAAAAGTAATTAGACATGTTTTTATGAGTGTCACACACTTAGTTGATAGAGAGAGAGAGAGAGCTTCTGTGCACACTTGGCAAGTGTTGTCAGATCCCGACTTGGCGGAATTCATACAAGAGTAGCGCAACACTCTACATTGTGGCATCTCTCATCCATTTCTATATGCTTAATTGAATATTTATTCAATTGTATATTCTCGGTGGAGCATAAGGGTGAAAGAGTTTGTCTTTTTTTTTATCCTCATCATCATCATTATCATCATTGGTGGGTGAAAAGAAAGCAAGGTCTGCAATCAAGAGTTTCGCGGTGGGGTTGCAAAAAAGAGGGAATTTAATTTAAGGAGAAAAACAGTGCAGTTTCAGTTGAAAATAATATTATTATTCATTTCATACATTGCATTTTGTGAATTTGTATCTCTCTGTGGTATTTTCATACAATCTCCAACGTTCACCATTCGATTCACAGTCCGTGCACTGCTCTGTATCTCTTGCTCTCCTCTCCTATGCCTTAGCATTGAATAAATGGTGTGGAGACGTGTTTTTGAAATTTGTGACTGGCTTGTGTGTGTGCTGCTGGCCTGAAGTTGAAATGTGGCAAAGCTGTAGCGTGTTTTGCTGGCACTGCTGGGAGTTCAACTCTGTGCAATTGGATTTTGGTATGGGAAAGCATTGAGGCGGCGAGTCTCGAACTGAAATGGGAAATGCTGTGTCCCGAGCACCAGCTATTTACGCCGTTCCCTTGTGCGCGCTCTGACTGCTCTAGAGCTCTATGCTTTGCCGCGCTGACTGTGCCTGAGTGCTTGCCTATACAAAATGCTTGGTACTATACACACCATATAACACACAATGTTGGGTCGACGTTTCCAATTCGAAAATGTTGTGAAGGCAGTGGTGGCGGAGTTCTAATGCGCCGTATACCCATAGTATTTACGTCAAAAAGACCATTACCACAATTATTTCACCACACGATTTTCCATCACCCAAACGACATACAACACAAATCTCAGGCTACGCTGCTGGTGCTCATTGTGAAAAATACCTCCATCTAATTCCTATGCATGGACTATTGCCTTCATGAAGCCCCCAATGTTTCGTGTGTGCATATGATGAGCGCAGAAGGAGAGGAATACAGAAGAAGTAATAATAATGATGAATTTTTGTATTGGGGAATGGAGAGGAGAGAATAAGGAGAGTAGAAAAAAAGAGAGGAGAAACGTCAGAAATTGATTAGGTCTGTGAGTAATAATAATGGAAAATCAGCAAGTGGTTGATGTCACTTGTACTGCTCTCGAGGAGCGCGTCTATTGTGGCCTTTTTGGATAATGTCGCTTTTTATACCGGCTCGATCGTACATATGGAGAGATTTATCTATAGAATGAGCCTCATGTCACATGAGTGATGTATGACCGCGTGTTTCGATAGTGTTGGACAAATTATGAAAACACCACGCAAGAATCTCAATGACGTCAGGAAATGTCATCACGGAGTGTATGTGCAAAGGCAGTACTCCAAAATGTATCATTCATTGATGTACCTCGTGGGTGAAGGAGAGGGAGTGAGTGTGAGTACTATGAAGAAGCGGATCTTGGGCAAATATAAATTGCCCCTTGATGGTTTCCCCAGTGCTTGATTGCTGTGTAGTATAAAATAGAAATTTTAGACAATCCCACACTTCTCCAACCCCGCTTGTGAGAAACACCGTGGGTTGTTTGTGAGTGTGGGAGGGGGTGAGGTTTTCCTTTCATCCGATTCTGCAATTTAGATTCTTCCCCATTGCCAGTGGATGTCGGCAACGTCGTTGGTGTATTCTATGCAGAAGAAGAAGGGTATTATTCTCACTCTCTGCGCCTCACATCCCAATTCAGAGGGGGTTTTGCGATGTAGAATGGAGAGCACACTGTCGCTCCGACTGCCACTCTATCGCCATTCCCCATCTCGAAGGCATTTTACCAAGGCAAAGTTGAGGCGAAACTCGAGAGACGACGAACGGAGCTCATGGGCTACAATGCGAACCGACAGGCGGCATGGAAAAGAAGAGTGTGTTCTGGAGAGTTGATGATGATGCTGGGGCCGGTGGTGTTTCTTTCTCTCAAACCTTTTTTCCCTCTCCGGATCCTCATGCGCTCCACTGGAATATGTGAGTGTTTTTCATCCTCCACTCGGTGGGGTTTGGTGAGCTCACCACTCTGTGTCTACCTCCTGAGTTTGTGCTGAGCTATGCAAGAGAGTCGCAGGCAAAGCCAGAACCGACACTTCTTCCAATGCTATAGAACCTATGGAGGGTGAATGTATGGAATAGAACCGACTTTGTCGTTTCTACTAAGTGTACACTGGGTATAGATACCGGTTATATATACATAACATTAAGTGAATGTATGTATGGTTTGGCAGAAGAGAGTGGATGTGTGTGGGAGGTGATGGGATTCAAAATTAAGGGAGTTTCTCTCTACCATTTCTGCTGCTGCTTGATTCCATTCTCACTCTTCTTCATATAATACCGAGAGCAGAATCGTCAAGTTGAGTCTTCTGGAGATATATTCAGAGGTATACAATGTATTATTATGGTGCGCGCACGAGGATAGACTACAGGAGGCATGGGTGTGAAAGGAAACTGATGAGGAAGAGAGAAAGAGTGAGAGAGAGAGAGCGAGAGCGAGGGCGAAGAGCGGAAAAGATACGACGGGATGTAGGGGTTTTTCACTGGTGGAAAATTCAGCAATGTGCCTGAGAGAGTGCAGAGTTGGAGAATTTGCCAGAGGAGCAGTTCTCACAAGCGCCTGACTGGTGAAGGGGGGGCATTTTTAACCAGAACCCATCAGCTTTCAGGAGTGTGAACTGGGAAATGAGAATACTTCGGGGGAGAGAGAGAGAGATGTGGGTGGGAAAAGGTGCAAAGGGAAGAAATCGGTGGCGGTGTGGGGTTAAAACAGAAAGCTGTAAACTAAATGAACGAACGTCGCTCGGTACAATATAAGCAGTCGAAGGAAGCGCTCTGGAAGGAGTATGCATGGTCGGATAAGTGGGAGAGGTTGTATAGAATGGTTCTATATCGAGGTATACGGTTGGAAACCATCGCTTGCCATCAACGGGTGAAGTGTAGAGGCAAGAAGTGCTCGGCAGAATGGGGAGAGAAAGAGCATGTACAAGCTCTGTGGTAGATATGGGAGTTAAGAATTGAGGAGGAAGCATTACACTATCGCTATAGAAGGATGTGAGATAGATAGAATTGAGTGAATCCCTTGGAGCCGCTTATGTACTTTCCGATGATGACAGAAATGACGGGCGAAAGAGAAGTTTAAATGAGCATACTTTTTTTGCCCGTACCGCTACACACGTTATCTTGGCGATATAGCGCTGATGATTAATTTTTTCGGTGTGTTTAATGCCGCGAATGAAATATTAAAAGGCATAAAATAATGCTACCGATTGTGAGTATATTCCATATCTCATGTCTTATGCACAAATTTATACTCGCTGTGTGTTGTTTAGGATTTGGGAATGTGAGGTGGTCTGCTTTGTTTTTTTTCCGCTCATCATGAGGCTATATTTCATTAGTGTGGAGGAAAGAGGGCAATAACACTCATTTCAAATGGAAAGACATTCAACGGAAGACTTCCGCTCATT